GAGGTGGCGCAGGTGATCCGCCCAAGTGGAGCTGTAGATGAGTATGTCATCGAAAAACACAAGGACAAACCGGCGGAGGAAGATGCGCAGGATGTCGTTCATCAGGGCTTGGAACGTGGCGGGAGCGTTGCACAGCCCGAAAGGCATCACCAGGAACTCGTAGGGGCCGTCATGCGTGCGGAACACCGTCTTGGCGATGTCGGCGGGACGCATGCGGACCTGGTGGTAGCCCGAGCGGAGGTCCAGCTTGGTGAAGAATTTGGCGCCGTGTAGCTCGTCTAGCAGCTCATCAACCACCGGGATCGGGTAGGCGTCCTTGACAGTGATGGCGTTGAGGGCTCTGTAGTCGACGCAAAAACGCCATGACCCGTCGGCCTTCTTGACGAGGAGGACCGGGGACGAGAATGCCGAAGTGCTACGGCGGATGAGCCCTTGGTCCATCATGGCGGCGCATTGCCGCTCCAACTCGTCCTTGTGCGCGACCGGGTATCGGTAAGGGCGAACTGCCACCGGTGGGGCGCCCGGCAGGAGATTGATAGCGTGGTCGCGGCCACGCTGGGGCGGCAGGCCACGGGGCTCTGCGAACACGTCGTCGAAGGAGGCCAGGACGGCGTCGAGCAGCGGGTGGCCCTCGGCTGGTGCACTGGAGGCCGACGCACCCGAGCTGGTCGCGGCGAGGGCGAGCCGTCCGACCTGCCGCGACGCCCTTCCAAAGAAGTCGCCGTGCGTCTTGTGCCGCAGAAGGAGAGAGTACCGCGGCAAAGTCCGGTGAGGGGCCCCAGCCGGTCATCCAAATGGGTCCCCAACACCAAGTCGTAAGCCGCCGCCATGTATGACGAAGAGGTCCACGGCGAACTGGTCACCCTCGATGGTGATCGCGCTTGACGAAGGACGCCGGTGCGAGAAGACGCGTCATTGTTGGCCACCGTCCGCCGTGGAGGCGGGCGGCTCTGAAGGGGCAGCCCGGTCTGCTGCGCGGCACCCTCCGATATGAAGTTGTGCGTCGAGCCGGTGTCGAAGAGGGTGATCAGGGGCATGCCCGCCACCACCACGCGGAACTGGAGAGTGTCGTGTGCGTGGACACCCGCCACGGCGTGAAGGGAGTAGGCCGGTGACTCCACCGTCTGGTCGTCCTCGTCAGACGCATCCCCTCGGCGTCATCGTCCTCCAATGCGCTCTCCAGGAGGAAGAGGCGCTTGCACACCTTGCTGTGTCCGCGAGTGTACCTGTCGTCTCAGTTGTAGCAGAGGCCCAGGCGGCGGCGCTCCTCCTGCTCCGTGGCCGAGAGGCGCTTGATCTGACGCCCTTCGATGTTGACCGTGGCCGGTGTGGCGGCTTATCGGCTGGCTCGCTGTGATGTGGCCAAACGCCGTGCTCGGGGGTAGGGCGCTCGGGCGTGCGGCCTTGTGGAGCGCTGCGGCGGCGGTGTATTGTTCGCGCAACTCCATCTGCCGCGCCAAGCTCATGGCGGCCGCGAGGGACTGCGGGTTCTGGACTTGCACGTCCAGTGCCGAAAGGGCGGCAGAGCCCTCCGTGAAAACGGTGACGCGCTGCGCCCCCTCGAAGCGGCCGCGGCCGCGGCAGGAGAGGGCTCGAAGCGGTCTCGATATTCCGCCACGGTGCCGTCGTGCGCGGCAATCCGCCAACTCGAGCAATGCCGGGCGGAGCGCGTAGCCGGGTCAGATCGCAGATTCGGCAACTCGGTGAAACGCCGCCAGAAGGCGTGCCCTCATCTTCTGCGGGACCGCAGATACCACGATTGGCGCCCTCCTCAAGATTATCGACACCATCCATACCTTCTCCTCCTCCATTATGCGCTGCTGGTGGAAGTAGGATTCGCAGCGGTTGATGAAGATCAGCGGATCGGACTTGCCGTCGTACCGCGGAAAGTCCATCTTTTGGAACTTCGGAGGTCGATCTTGATGATGTTCGCCGGAGTGCTTGCTGCCCGATGGGCCGGTGGAGAGGGTGGCGATCGCCTTGGTGTTGGCCTCCGCGGTGGCCTGGAGGGTCTTGACGGCGGCGGCTAGGGCTTCGATGGACGCCCGGAGGTTGGCGTCGATGTCCCCATGGTGGCTGCACCCGGAACGGTGAGGATGATGTAGTGGGGGTTGGTGCGGCGGTTGGAGATGGTGAAGGCGCGGCAGGTGCTGGTGGTGATGAGGAGGATGCGGCGGCGGTGGGAGAGGCGGGACGGAACGACGAGGATCGCCGGGATCGTGATACCAGGTTGTCAAGGGCCTCAAACCCTCGGGTAGCTGGACCTCGACTACGTAGCTCGTAGTCGCGACCCGTCTTCTCCGGCGAGGTTTTGCCCCTCTGCCGTAGGCTTAGGTTTTGGAGAGAAAGAGATTAGGGAATAATTCTTGCTTGCTTTCCTCAATGTCTCGGTTACAATATATGGCCTAAGGCCTCCAACTGACGTGAGCCATTATTCCTAGAATTAGGGAATAAAAATAGCAACTAATCCAAAATAGCAACTAATCCTATTTTCGTCCTAGCCACTGGTGGGTTGCCCGACCTGGCTGTCCTGCGCGCGATCAGCGCGTGCCGCGGCCCGTCGCACATCTCTGGCGCGTCGGCGCCTGGTGTTGGTCTGGCCCCACATGACAGTGTGTTTATGCTACTATTTTCTAGTGAATCAAGAAAACAAAGTATTCATGCTTTGCACCACTGACATTGGACAAATGGTGTGAAACAATAAATATGGAGGGTCAATGGATTATTTGTGCTCCTGTGAATTTTGTTTAGATTGTAAACTATATAAATATAGATTATTGGCCATTTCCTGATAAGGTGAGCAGACAAATATAATCTGGATATTTTTTATGAGAATAACTACTGACTGTTATTTCGGTCAATTGAATTATCCGAACACAGTAGACACGGTTTTTAGTCACGTGTGCATGGTTCTATGATTTCTTGTAACTAACTAAATGGTTATCCTATGATTTCCTCACAGGCTATAACACCAATAAGAAAATGGAGAATTTTGTACTCATGTATGATTTACATTAGTTTTTCTGTTCTAATATTTCTTAGTGATGCAGGTTCAAGGTTACCAAACGTGACAATCTTGTTACCCACAGAAAAGAAACAAGTTGACATTGATGAAAAGGAGAAAACACTTAAACTTGCTGGAAGGTGAAATTGTATCCATTATTATATGGATACTTGTACTATACATATTTATATTTCGTGGCTTCACTTTTGCAAATTAATCCTGCTTTAATTTTTTTTAAACAATAGAGTAAAATTCACAAGCAGTTCCTAAACTTGCACGACGGTGTCATCCAGGTCTCAAACTCTCGAATTTTATATTTGATCTCCCATGTTTTTATGATGGCGTCGTCTGAGTTCCTAACTCAAACTTTGATATGTAGATCTACAAACTTGTATGGTGGTGTCATCTCTGTCTCTAAACTTATGAACTTGTTTTTGGCGTTAGGATTGGTCCAAATGTGCTTTGACTTGCTATATGTGCTGATGTGGCATGTAGTCAGTCCACGGAGCTGATCACAGCCCGTTTGTACCAATAACTAGATGACAGTGGTGTATAAGTTCAAAGTCCTAAATATCAAAATTTGAGAGTTGGAGCCCAAATGACACTATTATCCAAGTTCATGGACTCAAATATCAAATTTCGAGTCTGGGGTCTAGATGACTTTGGCGTATAAGTTTAGGGAACACTCTGTTTATTTTACTGAAAACAATATATCTCAGTTATCCATTTAAATAACCTGATAGCATTTTGAAGAGATTGATTTGGATTACATTGTGCAGAATTGGTCAAGCAGTTGGCTCTCTCCTGAGGCGATTAGGAATTTCATACCAGGGGGAGGAGTCTCATGGGAGGATGAGGATCAATGGCCTCACGTTAAGGAGGTGGTTCAATCCAAAACTGAATAGCAAATCCTCTGCTGCCGCGCCAGCTGACTTGCTTCCACTACCTTCGCGGTTAGCCAAAGGAATTGCTGGTCAGCAACGCGACATTAGAAACCTTTCACTCGAGTAGTAGACTAGTACTGCACGGCTATCCTGCAGCAACCGATCTCAGTAACCCGTGTGATAAGAAGCGTAGTATAGTAAGATGTGTCAGGAGTTTTTTTTGGTTTGATAGTGGATGTGCGAAGAGTTTGTTCGGTAGAAGGAAATACATAATCCATCAATCTGTAAAGGTATTATTCAAAAGAAAGATATACACGATACATCAAACTTTTGTAATCATGTCACGTAATAAGATTCTTTCCCCTGAACATAATATACGTATACAGTTACATATTTGTACGCACGCTCATCCTTATATGCATCTTTGATTAGCTATGCTAAATCTTCAGATTGACAAGTCACCACAAGTGTCTCAATATTTATGAGCAAGCTGCGTACCACTAAATGAATAACATTGTTTATTTGTGAAATAAAGTTAGGAAAATGCTAACATTTATGACAAGTTAAAGTTTAGATTTATTGTGGACATGTTTCATCACAAGTAAAACCAATCAACTGAGTTATGATCAGTTTATGCATGAAGAAAAACCATATTTTCTAGTACTAAGCATTTTCTTTCATGTTCTTCGTCATGCATAAGAAATGTGCTTCGTAGCACGAAGACAAACTTATTAGCTGTTACAAGGACATCCCCCAGCATTGTTGGATGGAGGATCAGGTCTACCTTTCCTTCGATTGGAGATAACAGGAATTGGGCAAAGATTTCTTCCTATCCAAACATGGTACATTGGATTTCTTGTTCACGTTACCTATGAAATTGTAAATTTGTATATTCTTTATTATAGTATATACAATTCTAATTAAAACTCCAAGAAGTATACTTCCTTTTAAACAGGGGGGGAATGGGTGTAGGGTAGGGATTTTTTTTACTCGGATGTATTATAGCTTTTCTATTGATTATTCATTGCTAATCATATCATCCTCATCATATTATCATATCATATGAAATCTTTAGTTTTCCCCGCCACGGTACTGTTCATTGACTGTTCCACCTACAGTCTCTCTCTCCTGGCCGTTCGTTCCTGCCTTCCTCCATCGCAGCCGTTCGCAGCCAGCCTTATCCTCTCCACCGACGGAAGCGTCTCCACGGCTCTCGCGGCTCCTATTCCACGCCACCAGCTCACGCCGCCTCCGCCCCTAATCGGAGAGACGGAGATGAGGACATCGTCGTCGGCGCCGAGGGCGTCCACATGTTGGCCACCGGCGGCGCCGCTGACAAGGTCCCGCTCACCTCCCGTCGCCCCCAGGCGCTTCTTCGTCGTCGAAACCCTAGGGGCAGCAACGCCGCCTGATCCACCTCGCCTTCGACCGTTGCGGCGGCCTCTCCCGAGCGCCGTCCCCGTCCCGCTGTCCGTGTCGAAGCAGCCAGTGCGGGTCGCCAGTATCCGCCGGCCGCGGCCCGGCCCGCAGGGCGCCGCTGCGCCGCCACCGAAGCGCGCCGGCCCGGCACCCCCGCTGGTCGCCGCACCTGCCTCCGGTCGGCGGCGTACTCTTGCAGCCAACAAGGTCGCCTCTCCTTCTCCCGCTCCCCTTCCTGAAATCCCTCTCCTTACTGCGGGGATCCGCCCTCCTCCCTCCTCTTCCTTGCAGCGACGGAGGCCAGGCGACCACCACGAAGCAATGGATGCTTCCCACATGGATGACGAACTGAGGAGACACTTCTCAGGTAACCCCCTCTCTCTGCCTCCACCCTCTCTTACCGATAAGCAGGTGAATAAAAACTCATTGACGGTGCAGTTTTCCAGTCTACCAAATTAGTTTGGGAACTACCTGCAGATCTACTGTGTAGTATCTAGATAAGAGTATGCTCTACTGAGTGGATGCATTGACAGGCTTATTTAAGGCACTCCTGGAATGGTAGGGATTCCTGATGTTTACATCGATTATAATATTACACCTACTTCTCACTTAGGATGTCATTGTTAACACTTCAATGACATGCTCCATCATGTTCATGCCTCAGCCTTATTTTCCCATACAGATTTGACCTAGAAGTCGCTAATTTTGCCTAGGTTTCTTCAATCAGTTCCATGTCAGTGTTAACAGCGTACCATTGTTCAGCAAAAACTTATTAGGAAACGCCATAGCGTTACTGAATGGTGTTTTGAAATTAAATGGAAATTCTATGTCAGTCTCTCTGAAGTACCAATGCCTCTCCTGTTCAATGTCTTTTCCTTTCATTTATGGTGTGTTTGCTACGGCTTAGTTTATTTAAGCCTGAATTGAACCTACCTACAGTGATTGATACACCTTGGCTCTGCGAAATTTCTATTGCTTGGAAGGTCAAAAATTCATCACAGATTAGCAATTCAGCCGTTATGATTATTGTTCTATGTTTTCTAAGCCAAACTTGCACATCCGCTTGACTTATTCAGGCGTGCCCCTCATATAGATTTCCTCCAGGTCTAACTGACGTTCCTTTTCTTTGTTTGCCATGCCATATATATAGATGTGAACACTGCTTTTTGGATGGACTATTCCATTCCCTGGTTTCCCATGATATTTAGTCTGCGATGACACAGTTTTGGTTTCTCAGTTTGCCTGCTATTGGATTTCAAAATGTCATAGCCTTTTCATTTCAAAGTTCGAATTGCTTTTCTTTGCCTTGCAGCTTGCTGCCATGACACTCGACTTCGCTACTATGCCGGGCAGATATGGCCGCCATGAAGACTCGCTCCGCGCTTGCTAGGCATGATGCGGTTGGGGTTGCACCACATTCTGAGGGCGCAGCTACAATGTCAGGTACAGACCTTGGAACTTCCTTTGCAATGTGACCAAACCTGTCACCTTTAGTGCTCTGCATCATATTGGAACTGATTTGAATCATTTATGCCGATGATTTTATTTAATTACCAATTTTTAAATTTCTGCTGATGTATTTTAGACACGCGGTTGCCCCCGTGAAAAGTTGGGCCTAGGCTAAGGCTAATACATAAATAATAAATGGATTCCTCCCCCTAAGCCCTGCTTTTTCTCTTTTTAGCCTTATCCGCTCTTTCATGTTGGTATCGATTTCATCATGCCGGAATAAGAGCTATGTAATGGATCTTCTCCAGATAGAGGTAAAGGTTACGTGGGAAATAAAGGAATCAGTAGCAGTCGCTGGAAAAAAAAGTAGGTACAGCGGCGAGGGAATACAACTTATTGGCCAACAAAAATCTATCTATTATTGGCTGCCTCGACAGCAAACTAAACTCTCGCTGATGATACAAGAACAACTCTTACGTCACAGGTGCAGTTCGTGGGTGATTGGAACACAGATTAGAAACTTCCTTATCAGTGGAATTCTTTTGCCACCTGTTTCAAAGGTAAACCTATAGTAACTCCTATTTTTTTGTTTTTACTCAGGCTAATCGGATGCAAACTTCATTAATGACTACATGTGAGTGTATAACCCGACAGCCACAAGCATCACTATATGCTCTTCAATTGTGAAACAAATTTCTAGGTACCTACAGTTAGTTTTTTCAATCTACCCCCCGTTTCCATGTCAATGAAAGATGCAGATATCCAAAAATGTTGTGCTCATTTAGATTTCACACAATTTCCGCATTACTTTGCTCCATATGCTTTCGATTTTTCTCAGGCTACCAAACTCATGTTGGAACTGCTACTGCTAATATTTGACAACAGTGTGTTCTGCTGGATAGATCTATTGAGAAGCTTAATAGCATATTATGGAATGTAAGAACTCCTCATGTTTAAATCAATGCACTCCAGCTTCATTGTTCTGTTTACTAATCGTAGTGAAATGATGCTACATGATTTTCGTGCCTCCACCTTTTTGTACCATACAAATTCATGTTAAGAAACTCCTAACCTTGCTTATTGAATCAATTTCATATTATGTTAATATGAAGCCACTGTTCAGGAAAAACTCGATACAAAATGGCCTAGCCTTACTAAAAATGCCTAGATGCGAAAATTTACTACTTATTCCTCTAAATTTGGAAATATAGGTTTACTCTGATCTTAGTTGATTTCAGTAACCCTTTTGCATTATGGAATGTACTGACCGACCTTATATGCATAAAGATACAGTTTGTTTCAAAAAAAAGTAGTACGCAAGGGCCACTGATTACTGACTGTAGGCTCAAAGCTAATATCTGAGATTCCATCTATAGTAATAGTTGTGGTATAATGTTAGGAAGCCAGTGTTTTTTACATACCAGTGCTAACGAGTTCTAATTTGATATTATATTCAACTGTCAGGAAGTGAATCATGAAGCTCAAAAAGGTATGCTTCACATTCAACTTTTTTTCGTTATCCACCTTGCTCTATTTTGCTGCTTTACATGTGTTTTCTCCTTTCAGCGAGGATGAATGTTGTATCAGTGAGTGGCCACCTCATACAAGCATTTCGAGCATCAGGGAGTATGCTCCAGCAGTCTCCAAAGAGTTACGTTCTGTTTTGCTATGCAATGTACCATGTGTTATGCCATCTTGCAATATGAAAACTTTTGCAGATTTATATGTACCAGCTCTCCTTGTGATATGAAACTCTTTGCGGTACAGATATGCCATCTGCAGGTTCTTGGATGTTTAGGTCCATAGTTTCTGATAGCCGGTGCTACCCTACAACAACCTGCAACAGCTAATAACCATCCTGTTCTTGCTGTTATCCATGTTGCTGCCCACCGGTTGTCCACAAATGGCATCTTGCCCTCTCCTCCATCAAGGTAACCTAAGAAACCTACAAAGTTTCTACCTATTGCTTGCATTCATCACCGAACACTGAGCTTGACTGCGATATGTATTGCTCAATAGGCACTCAATTGTTTTTCTACAACACCAAACGTTATCAATCCATCCGTGGTTCTGCTTCTCTATTCTTACACATGGTCAGTGTGAAGCTAGCCAGATGTCACTCGGTTTGATGTGGTGACTAATCTCATCAACATGGGTGTTAGGCCCTCCAATTATTTATTTTTGCCTAAACTATGCCACTTCATGAACTGCAGGTGGCTCATGTTTAGAAACACATTTTTTTGTTGACAACTTATAAGTTTCATTGTGTAATGACCATTCTTGCTTATATAAATATCTTTTGGACATCACTGTTGTCATTTCAATCAAATTATTGTTAGCCTACGTATCCTAATTAGCAAAGCTTGCTTTGTTGTGACCTGCGGGGTTCCGGCTAGTAAATCTGAACTGGCAAGAAGACAAGTGGTCTGAGAGATGGTGAGAGATCACAGGACAACAATAAGTATGTCTGCAGGAGACTTAAGGTTGACGGAGTAGATGATCACTTCATCACAGAAACAATTGGGCCTCAGTTTGTGGGAGAATACGCAGCCCTCCCTGCTGATCATACAAGAGGGGGCATAACTGTGTCCTGCTCGGTGGATTTCTTCCTCCTGCAGGAAGTGGAGATTACACAACACTCGATCTCAGTCAAAATCAAGAACAAATCAGACTGTAGAATCTGGACCCTTAAATGAGTCTACGGACCCCAAGGAGATGCAGAAAAAATGTTCATGGACGAGATTAAATGGCGCTCAGACCTACAACGCAACCAAAATGGCTGCTACTCAGAGATTTCAATTTAATCTACAGAGCCAGGGACAAGAACAACACAATTGTCAACCGCACCTTCAAATCAGTGCTGGATGACCTTGAGCTCAAGGAGCTTCACCTCCATGGACGGTGATTTACCAGGACAAACGAGACAGGGAATCCAATCATGACCAAGATAGACCACGTCTTCTGCACCAAAGATTGGGGGTTGGCAAACACAGATTGTTTTGTTCAGGCAGTCAGCACCTCCATGTTTGATCACTACCGAATGCTACTCACTTGCTCACTCTTTTAACATATAAACAAAGGATTCAAATTTGAATCCTTCTGGACAAAGATGCCTGGCTTCAAAGAAGTCGTTCCACAAGCTTGGACATGACAGGTTCACTCAAACGATAAGATCAGAATGCTACATATAAAACTATGGAGAACAGCCCTAGTGTTAAAGGCTTGGAGTAAAAAAACAGGTGGGCATGCTGAAACAACAGGCAAACATTGCAAATGAGACCATATTTAGGCTAGACCAGGCATAGGAACAACGCCATCTGACTAGCGATGCGTCATCATTGAGAAGATTAGCCAAGCAGAGGGTAGTGAGGCTTGCAACGGTAAGGCGCACTCAACTGAGGCCACAATCGCAGTTAGTCAGAATATAGCTGGGTTACACCCGACCATTCCAGCTTAGAGCAAATGGGTGGAGATGGAAAAATTTCATCCGGCTCTAAACCACGAGGATCGCATAGCTGCGCACACCAAGACAAGGCTTAAATTCTTTACAACAACTACTTAATGATCTTCATGATAATGCAACCAAGAGCGACATCCGTCAATGGGACCACCTCCTTGAATTGCTGTCACATGACCTCTAGCACCTAGAATACCAACTTTCATAGGACAAAGTCAAACGGGCTGTGTTTGAGGCTCTAGATGAGAAAGCACTAGGGCCCGACAACTTCATTGGACTCTTCTACAAAAGAAGTTGGGAAATCGTCAAATTGGACCTACTCAATGCACTTCACCAACTCTTCAATCTTTGGGCAAACCAATGGAACCTGCTGAAATCTGCTATTTTGTATTGAACTATTGATACCCAGAAAAAGAGGGAGCTAGTGCGGCAGCGAACTATAGGCCCATAAGCCTGATGCACATTGTGGCTAAAATCATGTGCAAGTTACTGCCATCTACGACCGAACACTACTACAGAAATCATTTTTGCTGGCACGTTATTTTTTTTTTTCACAGGCGGTTCACAATTTCATGACGCCAGTACAAAAAATAGGGTGGGCCTAGCAAGAGAACCGCCTGTGTAAAACAATTTACAGTGGCTCTCTATCTTTACCGTGTAAATCGTGTAAATATAAAGCGGTTTTTAATAACAACAACTCACTGTAAATACCATTTACACGGTAATGACATATATAAACCGCTTTGTGTACCATTTACACAAAGCGGTCGACATTATAAACCGCTTTGTGTAAATATAGTATTTACACAGTAGTAGAGATAGAAGAGCCGCTTTGTGTAAATTGTTTTACACAAGCGGTCCTCCTACCAACCGCTTTGTGTTAATCTTTGTGTTAATGTTGCTATAAATTCCCTTCGTTCACCTCTGAGACAAAACGATTACTCGCGTCTTTTGTGTGCATGATGGCGATGACAGAGAAGTGGCGATTCAGGGGGGAGGTTTTGAACTTCATTTCTTTGGTGAGAAACTTCCAAAAGGTTAGTTAGTGTCGTTGCCGCCATTTTTTTTAGTGATTCTTTGGTTCAATTCTTGTATTGGAGGTGCTCTAAATCTAGGGTTAGGGTTAGGGTTCATAGCTAGGACAAGAGAGAGAGTTTTAGCTATTTTTTTTTGTAAATTCATAGTAAATTGTATCTTGCTCGGATTATAGAAAATAAATACTTTTTAGAATTCTTGTGAGTAGATCTATGTAATAGAATAATGATTAACACTTTATAAAGTCTTGTCAATTGTTATACTTATTTCCTGTAATTATAAACTGTGAATTAATTTAGTTTTTAATCTACGTACTTAGGGTTTATGAATTAATTTAGTAGTTAATGTTTTGTTAATTAGGGTTAGTTATTATTGTCTATACTTAGGGTTTGTTAAATAATAAATAACCCTATTAAACAAGCCTTTAATTACTAACTAAATTAATCCACTAAGTACATGAAATAATAAATAACCCTAATTAACAAACCATTATTTACTAACTAAATTAATCCACAAACCCTAATTAAGTACATGAAATAATAACTAACCCTAATTAACATACCATTAATTACTAACTAAACTAATTCACAAACCCTAAATAAAGGGAATAAATAACCTTTAATTACTTACTAAATTAACTAACAAACCTATTATTAATAAACACTAACTAAATTAACTAACTAAATTAACTAATTACTAACTAACTAAATTACTAACTAACTAAATTAGTACAGACGGGCCCAGCAGGCAACGCTGGCCCTAAATAAAGGGAATAAATAACCTGAATTCCTGTGGAAAATGAAAAAACATTATACATGACAGTTGTTGATGAGGGCCTTTGTACTAATATATATATCTGGTGGCGGTCAATGACGCCCACTTTGTGAAAAAAAGATTTTTACAGGCGGTGGTCAATATGGCCCGCCTGCTACTAATGTGCTCAATATAAGTTCCCTTGCGTGGCCCGCAAAAATTTCTAAGTCCCGAGGCGAGTTGAGAAATGGACGTCGTCAGTGCCGCCGAAATCCGCCGCCGCTCCTCCACCGCTCCGGACCGCCACCGTCGTGTGTGCTGCCGCCGCCACGCCGCCGAGGGACCTCCTCCACTCACCGGCACGCGCTCCACGCCGCCGCCGAGGGCCTCGCTCCGCCGCCATGATGAAAGCCGCCGCCGCGCCATTGCATTGCGTCTCGCCGTGGGGGAATTCGCCCTACGCGCCGTTGTGCAGCGACCTCGCCAAAGCTTTAGAGAGGTAGGTCGTGCACACACCGCCACCGCCGAGCTCCGCTCGAGGTGCTCGATCGATCGGTGTGGCGGCGGCGCCATATCTTGCCCTTGCCATGCTGTGCCTCCCAAGGCCGTGGCGTTACTCTTGAGGCTGGCAAGGCCGCTTGCCTTTTTTTTTTTAATTAATTAGTAATGTTTTATTAGTGTTTTTAGGTAATTTTGTTAGTAATTAGCTAATTTAGTTAGTACTTTAGTTAGTTAGTAATTTAGTTAGTTAGTAATTAGTTAATTTAGTTAGTTAATTTAGTTAGGGTTTGTTTGCAAAATTTAGGAATGTTTTTTGTTATGGTTTTTTATTAATAGTTAGTAATATTTTTTGTTAGGGTTTATTTAGTAATTAGTTAATTTAGTTAGTGTTTATTAATAATAGGTTTGTTAGTTAATTTAGTAAGTAATTAACGGTTATTTGATGGAAGACTTCGTTAAAAACCCTGATCCTGAAGTGATGAAGCGGTTGGCGGGAGCAGTGTCTGCTCAACAGATGTCATCACAAGCTCCTTCATATATGCAGCATGTCCCAGCTCAACCCTTGGGTAGCCAGGAGATGGCCACACAATCTATGCCCTTTCCAAGCAGTATAGCGTCAACATCAAATCAGGACCATTATCCAGTTGACGATATTGATAAACCTTGGCCTTGCTCATTGTTAATTGGATATGGCCTTAGGAATCAGCATACAAAGCAAGTGGCCACAGGTAATGCCATCCCTGGACGTAGGTTCCATGGTGTCGAGATGCAAGATGCATACTGCAGGGTGGAAGTGTTGACGGTCGAGAGTGGATATGAAGACGACTTCATCGACATCCCGACCTCTGAGGGTATAGAGAAGCTTGGACAAGCAATCAAGAACTTCATACAATGGCCGAGACGGTACGTAAGGTTGATTGATCCACCAACGGCACCCTCTCCACCAGTGCATCAAGCATCCCAAGAGGCCGAAACAAGTCAACAGCCAGCATCGCCAATGCATGCCCCAGCATCCCCGTATATTTATGAGCCACCGTCGTCATCCCCAATACATGATATGTCATTCTCGCTGGATGAGCTCGAGGGGCCAGCCAAGAACATGCCTGAGTAGCAGACTCCGCCAGCCAAGAAGGACACAACACCAGAGAAGGAGGTAGAGCAAACTCCCCCGCCACCACCAAAGCAGAATGAAGATGAGCAAACTCCCCCGCCACCACCAAAGCATAAGGAAGCAGAGCAAACTCCCCCACAAGCACCGGCCTCCAAGAAGGCAAAGAAATTTCCAATTCCAAAATTGGTTTCTCCCTATGAGCCAAAAAAGGGGAAAGCAGCAGGCACAGTTCTATTTCTGAAAGGGCTTGGAAAGCAGCGGACGGCACGAGTCGTTGAGCTCGAACCGTCACAGAATAAGGAAGCCGCCGGCCAAGCAACTGAAGCCGTGCCACCAACAAAGGAAGCCCCAAGTGGCGATGTACATGTCGAACCGCCATCAAATACACCATTGACCCTTAAGGATATAAGAAAGCCAACGGTTGATGATTATGTCAATGTCCCCAGTAACTATGTGCCCGGAAGGCCTATGCTGCAATGGACGGTGCTTGAAAAGGGTCCATGGACGATAAAAAGGTTTCATGACTGGTACATGAGAGCAGTGAATGCTGGCCTGCATGCAGTTAGTGTTGACATACCAGCAGACGTGTTTGCTACTGGCAAGGATAAAAGCGGGGCATTTGTTACCTTCGAGGACATGCACCTGCTGTTGAACTATAGGAAACTTGACGTCCAACTCATTACAATCTGGTGCCTGTAAGTATCACTCATGCACACACATTGTTATTATTAAATTTGGAATGTGATAAACTCTAATATGTGGATGTTGTATGTAGTTTGCAAGACCACGAGCAGAGATCGTTAACTACAGGATCGATGGTCGGTTACCTGAGTCCAATCAGGTTACAAGAAAATATGCACAAATTTGTACTTACAAATGAAGATAGAGCAAAGATAGAGAAGGACAAAACACCAGAACAAGTTGCAGAAGCTGTAAAGGAATTGCAACGAAAATACGAGGACAAATATGCCCTCTATCTCGGTAGAGCAATGCTGAGATATAAGTACAGGG